AGTTCCGCTCTTCTCAGCTTTCAGGCAGAGACTTGCGTTTGAGAAAGAGAGAGAGAGTGGCGACTGTTCGGACATGGAGTTTGAATCCAATTTCGAAATTGCCACCACCGCCGATTTCATATACAGCAGAAAGTTCACCAGAGTCGCTTTGCAGGTAACTCATAGTTGAATTTTATTTATTTATTTATTTATTCATCCTTCTTTACTAAACCCTATCAAAACCTCTCGCGCGTAATTTTTGAAAATAAAAATTAAATGTTTTCCCAATTAAAATAAGGGTAAAATATTGTCAATTGAGCCAGTTCGTCATGTTATGCTTTGAAGTATTGAGCTTTCTTAATTGAAGAATGAAAATTTGTTATTTTTATTGCTTTTTTCTGATATAATTTTCTCGCCAACCAAGCGGAGAAATTTTCTTTTTTCCTTTCTTTAAACAAATACAATAACGTCACAAACATGTGTAAAGTATAATTATTTCTTATATTTGAGTTTCTGTATCGAATTAATTCTAAATGTGTAATGCATGCAAAATGTTATATTCGTTGGATATTTGTAACTGTTCATTTTTGTACATGATTTTAATGCTATTTTATTGGGCGGCTTTATATCTTTTATAACTTGAGACGTGGTGATTCTGACGAGAATGCTGAACATATGAAGCCCAACTTTTGGTTTTGTAAATTATAAATTGTCTGATAAGATATCGTGTTGTTTACATTGAGTAAATTTTTGATCGTGTGAGCAAAAATTTATGTGAAAATGTAAGTGCATTACGATTATTATAAGTGTAACGTATTCATAAGAATTTTTTTTTTGGTTATAGTTCCCGGATAATTTATTGAAGGATGCAACAAGAGTAGTGCGTGCTCTGAAGGCCAAACTTTTGTCTTTGAGAGATTCTGGGGAGGAACATAATGGGGATAACAATGATGTTGGATTGTATGTGATGGCAGATACAACTTATGGAAGTTGTTGTGTTGATGAGGTCGGAGCATCTCATATTAATGCTGNCACGGCAAATAAAACCAAATTTGAGTCACCCCTTTAAAAGTTGTCACATGGATAGAAGCAAGTCCACAAATGTAATAGAAGGGGTTGCTGGAAAGGTTTTTTGCCTGGTTAGTTAATACAGGTACGGTAAAAAAACGGTACATAAATTATATGGGTATAAAATGGTAAATAGTAAAAAATATGTTTATAAAAATTCGGTCATAAATTTAGATACGGAAAAAATACGATACGGTTATATACGGGTTTAATACGGTGCATTATCAATAATACGTTTTGAAAAATACGGTAATATCAATCTTAGTTTTAACACTTTTATGGACTATCTGGTTAAAATCAACATAACATTTCAAATACAAAAGTATTCAATTTGATTGTATTTACAAGAACATAAAAGAAAAGTAGAGAACATCATCAAATACCTGATCAAATGCAAAGTATTTAATTAACTAATAACATAAATACACAATAAAGAATTTTTAATTAAAAATTCCTATAAAATATAAATTAACCAAAGTTTTTAAATTAAGTCATGAAGGGTCAATATAATTTATTTTCATTTATCAAGCTCTGTCTAGCATTTTCAGAATCTTGTAAAACAAATGTAAAGTGTTTGATGCTCATAATAGCTCAACCAATTGAGATTTATTATGAGAGGTTATAATATAATCAGTCTTTTAAGGGTTAGAATCTATATATTGCCAAAAACTATTATTTCCTGCACTGCAACGATTGTAGCTTTCCATGTGGTTCCAATTTCAAATTTGAGTTTGTGAAATAATTCAAAGAATTTATGGATATTAAAAAAGAAGAAAAGAAAATTAATCAGTCTCGTTTTGGTTTGATTAAAGATAATTTTTTGGGCCAAATGTCAACAAAGACAAAGCAAGATACTTGATATATATCCTCTCTCAAGTCTCTGTTACCTAAAGACAGGTTTCTCAATGAAATTAACCAGTAAAATTTTCAAAACTGTAAGACTTCGACACAAAACTTTGAGTAACCTGTGATAGAGATTAAAGTCTTGCCGTCCAACTACAAAGCTAATGATCATGTCTCTTATTATCGTGATAAGAAATGGTTTCCTGTTGTCATCTTACACTAAAAGACATTTGATTTAAACATAAAAATATATTTTATTAAAACCTATGAGTATTTGTCTTTACTGTTAGCACTGATATATAGTTAGAAGAAGGTTTAGATTTAAAAAATAAAAATAAAAGTTAATTAAGATAGAAAATACTGTTGATCAATAACTAGCTACAGACAATAAACTTTGACGGTGCGCAACAACTTTTGGAACTATCGGAGAAAGAACATTTGGCATTGACTAAGGACTTTTCCAAGTCTACGAAAAAAATAGAGATTTTGTATTCACATACAAAATCTACAACCACACCTTCCTTTCTTCCTATAAATATCACTCATTTTTCTCAAGACTGATTCAGAGTTCAAACTCTACAAAATGGCTCTTCGAAACTTTGTTGTATGGGAATAATTTGCCTTAGCAATTATTCCATCAATGTAATGTGTCAACAGTGTAATTGTAAGCCAGACGAGTGTTGTAGCAATCATGGTTACTGTGGCAAAGATAAAGACTATTGTGGCGACGGGTGCCAATCGGGCCTGTTACGCTAAGACAACAACGTCGTGGTGGCTGATATGTCACTTCTGAGTTCTTTGGAGGATCAAAAATCAAGTTCCAGCTTCCGGGGTTCCAGGGAAGAGCTTCTATACAAGAGATGCATTTCTGAAGGCTCTGAGTCTTATCCTCGATTTGGAAGAGGTGGTAGGGTTGGTGATTCCAAGCGTGAGATTGCAGCCTTTTTCGCTCATGTTGCTCATGAAACGAGAAGTAAGTTCTGCTTATCTACAAATTTCTATACTATCATGTACTTGTGTGGATTCTCGGTTGCAGTTAAGTTTTACGATTGAATGTTTAAATATAAATCTCAATAGCAAACACTTTCTGGATGAATTTAACACTGAAAGACAAAAATAATAGTTAACTTTTTCAAATAAAAATTGTAAAATTTTCTGTTTTAATATATTGCTGTTTTTGCAGGTATGTGCGCTATAGAAGAGGATAACAGGAAAAAAAGGATGTTGATGAGAGCAAGAAACAGTATCCATGTGTTCCAGGCAAGTTTACTACGGGCGGGGGCCACTTCAACTCAATCGAAATGAAAATTATGGAGCAGCTGGAAAAGCTTTACAATTTAATGGAATTAATTCTCCGGAATTGGTGGCTCGGAATCCTGTTTTGTCTTTCAAGACGGCCTTGTGGTTCTGGAGGCCAATGTTCACACAGTTTTAAGGAAAGGTTTTGGGGAGACAATCCGGAAGATTAATGGTCTAGAGAATGTAATGGCGCAGATACTCAGAGGGTTAAGCACCGTGTTGACCTTTACACACACCTATTGCAGAAATTTGGTGTTGATCCGGGCAGAATCTCTATTGCTAAGTTCTTAATTTCATCGCGAGTAATCTAATGCATGATGATAGTTAATGGACTCTTAATTTCATTAAGAGTTGTATCAAATAAAGAAAATAAATTTGAGGAGCTCATGTTGAGTTGCTGATTATATATATATATATATATTGCTTCTCGTAATAAAACAAAAAGAAGAGTAAATATTAAGGGTATTATCCTCGATCAAAATAGCTGAACCAGTTGAGATTGACATATGAGAGGTAAATTACTAAGTCAGCCTCCTGATAGTGATCATATGATAAACACTATGTTTCCAGTTTTCTAGAGATTGTGGTATATTTGATGAAAACTCCGACTTAAACTTAGATTTGCAAAACATTTGGTAATATACATTATTAAATAAAAAATAAAAATAAAAAAGAAGAAAAGAAAAAAGAGTAAACGACTTTTTCCACCCAAGGTCTGCTTAATGACCTTTCACCCAAGAAGTTTCAACACACTACTTTTCTACCCAGTTAAAATTTTGTATTACCCAAAGCCGATTTACGGTGAAAATTCTCTCATTGCCACATTTGAACATCTGATTACTTTCACAAAACCTCTTTCACCCCAACACTTGATTTTGCCAATTGCTGGTCATCGCAAAGTTAGAGTCCTATTCTTAGCCGTTTCTAACTGATTCCAGCGATAAATATTCATTCGATTACTATTCTATCCACCAGCTTTATTCTGCAAAACTTCTTACCTTGGCTTCTGGTAACTTGTCGAATGCCAGCAAAAAGTGAAGTGATTTTGGGTATTAAAAGAATATAAACATTGGGTGAGAAAGTGTATTTTGAAACTTGTTAGGTGAAAGTGTTATTAAGGAAAACCTTGGGTTGGGAAAAAGTATTTACTCAAAAAAAAAAAAAAAAAATAAATTTAATGCCTGTCGTTAAAAAGATAAATCCTCGCCCAATATAATTACACCTATCTATGTCAGGGGCAATAGCATAGAAAAATTGTGAACCAAAGACGAAACAATTTGACTGTCTTTCGTATCCTCTCCTCTCAAGTCTCTGTCATGACTCATGACAATAATGGAGGAAACATTAATTGCACCAAACTTTTTTTGGCTTCGAAATCGATCGATCAACACGGTTATATATACAACAACTAAGATTTAAAGTGTGAACTTCAAAATTTGGACATTTATTCTCATTCTCACGCATATTAAAATTTTATCATTTTTTATTGCTAAAAGACAAAAATCTTACACACAAAAATTCTCTCCCTCTATATATATATATATATATATGTTCGAATTAATTAAGGTTAGGAAAGAATCATGGTAAATAAAACACGTTATTAGAAGATAAACAAACTTTGACGATGGGAAACAACTTATGAACTCATCTATTGACTAAAGACCTTTCTAAGTCTGAAAATAAATACACGTTTTCTTCATTACGTAATAAAATCTACAACACCACCTTCCTTTCTCCTTCCTATTTCTTCTAGTCAACACAATCTACCAGAAAACTTCGCAAATTAATTATACTTTCATTACACTATAAATTAATTATATCTTTCTTCCATAGATCCAACTCTCTCTCAAAATGGCTCTTCTTAATCTGAAAAATTGTGATCTTCTTCTAACCTTTGTTGCAGTGGGAATTTTTCTTGCCTTAGTTATTATTCCTAAACAAGTAATCGGTCAATGTAATTGTGACCCTGGCCTCTGTTGTAGCCAATATGGTTACTGCGGCGAGGGCAATGACTTTTGCGGTGACGGCTGCCAATCGGGACCTTGTTATGCGAACACCAACGACGTCGTGGTGGCTGATATTGTGACCCCTGAGTTCTTTGATGGGATCAAGAATCAAGCTGCAGCTTCTTCAGATTGTCCTGGGAAAAGCTTCTACACAAGAGATGCATTTCTAAATGCTCTCAGTTCTTATCCTCGATTCGGTAGAGTCGGTAGCGTTGATGATTCCAAGCGTGAGATTGCAGCCTTTTTTGCTCATGTTACTCATGAAACTGGAAGTAAGTTCTATATATATATATATATATATTATTTATTTTACATATATATTTAATTAGAATGTCTGCATGCACTAAGATTTACTCTAGAGATTTATTTATATATTAGTGCGCATAAGTTGGGATTTTTTTTTTTAAAATAATGTGGATTTTTCACCTAAGAATTTTCTGTATACGTAGTTGTTAATGAGACAAATTTGTTAAGGGGGGGCTAGTGACCCCACTCAAAAGTTTCATAGATTTTGCTTAGTTTTTTTGTTTTGACTAGACTATAATTGTGTTAATGTTTCTAGATTTCACCCTGAACCTAATTGACCATGCACAAAAATATTACTTGTTTTTGCAGGTATGTGTGCTATAGAAGAGGACAGAAGGGATTATAACTCTTGTGATACTAGCAAACAACAGTATCCATGTACTCCAGGCAAGTTCTACTATGGGCGAGGGCCACTTCAGCTCACTGGAAATCAAAATTATGCAGAAGCCGGAAAAGCTCTACAATTCGAGGGTCTAAACTCTCCGGAACTGGTGGCTCAGGATCCCGTTTTGTCGTTCAAGACCGCCTTGTGGTTCTGGATGACCAATGTTCACTCAGTTTTAAGCCAAGGTTTTGGGGCAACAATCCAGAAGATTAATGGAGATCTTGAATGCAATAACAAAGAACCTGAAAAAGTTCAGAACCGTATTGGGTTCTACACTAATTATTGTCAGAAATTTGGTGTTGATCCTGGGCAGAATCTCTCTTGTTAGGTTCTTAATTTTGATAATTTCTTGAATAATTAATTTACCGGCATGTTGAATAATGTACACTTATTTTCATTAAGAGTTGTATCAAACAACTTGTTTGAGTAACCTCACTAGAGTAAATTAGATGAATTGAGATTGAATAAATTAAGGAGTTTATATATGAATTTGCTGATTCTACAATGTTTGGCTTTCTGATTATCTTTGTCCTCTTTCTCTCTCTCTCTCTATGCATTTTCAGAATCTTGTAAAACAACTGTAAAGTGTTTGATGCTCATAATAGCTCAACCAATTGAGATTTATTATATGAGAGGTTATAATATAATCAGTCTTTTAAGGGTTAGACATCTATATATGGCCAAAAACTATTATTTCCTGCACTGCAACGATTGAGCTTTCCATGTGGTTCCAATTTCAAATTTGAGTTTGTGAAATAATTCAAAGAATTTATGGATTATTAAAAAAAAGAAGAAAGAAAATTAATCAGTCTCGTTTTTGGTTTGAATAAGATAATTTTTGGCCAATATGTCAACCAAAGACAAAGCAGATACTTATATATATCCTCTCTCAAGTCTCTGTACCTAAAGACTAGGTTTCTCAATGAAATTTTAACCAGTAAATTTTCAAAACTTTGTAAAACTTCGACACAAAACTTTTGAGTAACCTGTGATAGATATTAAAGTCTTGCCGTCCAACTACAAAGCTAATGATTCATGTCTCTTATTTACTAGTGATAAGAAATGGTTTCCTGTGTCATCTTACACTAAAAGACAATTTGATTTAAACATAAAAATATTATTTTTATTTAAACCTTGAGTATTTGTCTTTTACTGTTAGCACTGATATATAGTTAGAAGAGGTTTAGATTTAAAAAAATAAAATAAAAGTTAATTAAGATTAGAAAATACTGTTGATCAATAACTAACTACAGACAATAAACTTTGACGGTGCGGCAACAACTTTTGGAACTATCGGAAAGAACATTTGGCTATTGACTAGAGACTTTTCCAAGTCTACGAAAAAAATAGAGATTTTGTATTCATCACATACAAATCTACAACCACACCTTCCTTTCCTTCCTATAATACACTCTTTCTCAAGACTGCATTCAGAGTTCAAACTCTATCAAAATGGCTCTTCGAAACTTTGTTGTATGGGAATATTCTTGCCTTAGCAATTATTCCCATGTAATGTATGTGTCAACAGTGTATTGTAGCCAGACGAGTGTGTAGCAACATGGTTACTGTGGCAAATAAAGACTATTGTGGCGACGGGTGCCAATCGGGACCTTGTTACGCTAAGACCAACAACGTGTGGTGGCTGATATTGTCACTTCTGAGTTCTTTGATGGATCAAAAATCAAGTTCCAGCTCTCGGTGTTCCAGGAAGAGTTCTATACAAGAGATGCATTCTGAAGCTCTGAGCTCTTATCCTCGATTTGGAAGAGTTGGTAGTGTTGGTGATTCCGCGTGAGATTGCAGCCTTTTTCGCTCATGTTGCTCATGAAACGAGAAGTAAGTTCTTGCTTATCTCAAATTTCTATACTCATCGTTTACTGTGTTGGATTCTCGGTTGCAGTTAAGTTTTACGATTGAATGTTTAATATAAATCTCAATAGCAAACACTTTCTGGATGATTTAACACTGAAAGACAAAAATAATTAGTTAACTTTTTCAAATTAAATTGTAAAATTTCTTTTAATATTTATTGCTTGTTTTTGCAGGTAGTGCGCTAGAGAAGAGGATAACAGGAAAGGTATTGTGATGAGAGCAAGAAACAGTATCCATGTGTTCCAGGCAAGTTCTACTACGGGCGGGGGCCACTTCAACTCATGGAAATGAAAATTATGGAGCAGCTGGAAAAGCTTTACAATTTAATGGACTTAATTCTCCGGAATTGGTGGCTCGGAATCCTGTTTTGTCTTTCAGACGGCCTTGGTTCTGGACGGCCAATGTTCACCAGTTTTAAGGAAAGGTTTTGGGGAGACAATCCGGAAGATTAATGGTCTTAGAGAATGTAATGGCGCAGATACTCAGAGGGTTAAGCACCGTGTTGACCTTTACACACCTATTGCCAGAAATTTGGTGTTGGTCCGGGCAGAATCTCTATTGCTAAGTTCTTAATTTCATCGCTAGATTAATCACTGGCATGATGAATAGTAATGGACTCTTAATTTCATTAAGAGTTGTATCAAAATAAAGAAAAATTTGGAGGACTCATGTTTGAGTTTGCTGATTATATATATATATATATTGCTTCTCGTAAAAAAAAACAAAAAGAGAGTAATTATTAAGGGTATATCCTCGATCAATAGCTGAACCAGTTGAGATTGATATGAGAGGTAAATTACTAAGTCAGCCTCCTGAAGTGAATATATGATTAAAGCACTATTTTCCAGTTTTCTAGAGATTTGTATATTTTGATGAAAACTCGACTTTAAACTTAGATTTGCAAAACTATTTGGTAATATACAATTATTAAATAAAAAAAAAAAAAGAAAGAAAAGAAAAAAGAGTAAACGACTTTTTCCCACCCAAGGTCTGCCTTATGACCTTCCCACCCAGAAGTTTCAACACATCACTTTTCACCCAAAGTTAAAATTTGTTATTAACCCAAGCCGATTTTACGGGAAAATCCTCTCATTGCCACCATTTGAACTCTGATCTACTTTCTACAAAACCTCTTTCACCCCACACCTTGATTCTTGCAATTGCTGGTCATCGCAAAGTTAGAGCTTCCTATTCTTAGCCGATCTAACGATTCCACGATAAATATTCATTCGATTACTACTATTCTATCCACCAGCCTTTATTCTGCAAAACTTCTTACCTTGGCTTTGGTAACTGTCGAATGCCAGCCAAAAAGTGAAGTGTATTTTGGGTATTAAAAGAATATAACATTGGGTGAGAAAGTAGTATTTTGAAACTTGTTAGGTGAAAGTGTTTTAAGGAAACCTTGGGTTGGGAAAAAGTATTTACTCAAAAAAAAAAAAAAAAAATAAATTTAATTAGCCTTGTCGTTAAAAAGTAATATCCTGGCCCAATATAATTACACCTATCTATGTCAGGGGCATAGCATAGAAAAATTGTGAACCAAAGCGAAACAAATTTGACTGTCTTTCTGTATCCTCTCCTCTCAATTCTCTGTCATGACTCATGACAATAATGGAGGAAACTTAATTGCACCAAACTTTTTTTTGGCTTCGAAATCGATCGATCAACACGCAAATAAAACCAAATTTGATCACCCTTTAAAAGTTGTCACATGGATAGAAGCAGTCCACAAATGTAATAGAAGGGGTTGCTGGAAAGGTTTTTTGCCTGGTTAGTTTACAGGTACGGTAAAAAACGGTACATAAATTATATGGGTTAAAATGGTAAAGTAGAAAAATATGTTTATAAAAATTCGGTCATAAATTTAGATACGGAAAAAAATACGATACGGTTATATCGGTTTAATACGGTCACATTATCAATAATACGTTTTGAAAAATACGGTAATATCAATCTTAGTTTTAACACTTTTATGGACTATCTGGTTAAAATCAACATAACATTTCAAATACAAAAGTATTCAATTTGATTGTATTTACAAGAACATAAAAGAAAATAGAGAACATCATCAATACCTGATCAAATGCAAAGTATTTAATTAACTAATAACATAAATACACAAAAAGAATTTTTAATAAATTCCTATAAATATAAATTAACCAAAGTTTTAAATTAAGTCATGAAGGGTCAATATAATTTATTTCATTTATCAGTTTTGAATTCTACAACACACATGCATGAAGTGAGGGTTTAATTAAAAGGAATAAAAAATTCCTATTTTTCTGTATTGAAATTTGACTATTTACAACCTATACTCTGATAGAAATGATACGACACCGTATCTATTAGAATAATCAATAATCAATATTCAATTATTTCATTTTTTTACTCTCTTTCTCCTTTTCCTAATTTATTAAGATTAGTTTTTCTCTTTCTCTTTCACTCTCCCCCCACACTGTTTCTCTTCCGATAATTAAAAAACTTTTTTTTTCTCTCTAAACAAACACTCACACTTTGCACACTCTCTGAAACTCCCATTCTCCAAAACGAACACACTCTTCATACTTCTCTTCCTCTCCATGAAGAACTCACGCTGAACCAAAACGATACAAGTGTAAAGTGTGTACCTTGAAGTCCCGAACTTGAAGTTGAAGCCTGGAAGAAGAGAATAAGAGATGAAGAAAGCTGAAAACATGAAGAACAGAGGAAGAACAGCTGAAAAGAACTGAACTGAGGAAGAAGATTGCTGCTGAACTGCCGAAATTTGAAGAAGAACGACTGAAACGAACCAGTGAAGTGTGAACCAGATCTGTTTCTGTTTTAATTTTTTGTATAAACCACCAAAAACACGTAGTTTTGGGGGTGTGAGGTTATATTTTTTTTTTCAATAATTCGCGAATTATTCGCTAATAATTCTCGAATTATACGCGAATTATACGGTATATATACTATACGCGAATTATAAGGCAGATTTTACAAAATTCGGATATCGAGTATTATACGCGAATTATACGCTGTTCGTATAATTCGCGTATAATACGCGTTTACTAACTAGGGTTTTTTGTACCATATATGTATTATTTTATTAAATTTTCCTTATTGAATTTAAACTATCTGTATCTATTTTTTTTTTTCCTTTTCCTTTCATATAGCTCTCTTCTGGGTTAAAATTCCTGATTCCTTATTTTTCTTTAAGTCTAGATCTTTGGTAACTGTAAGTATAATCTCAAATCAAACATTCACATCATATAGAGTTCTTTTTTTTAAGACAAACAAATTCTATTATTATAGAAAAAAAAAAAAAGAATAAGGGATTATGATGTCATGCCCTTGTTTTCTTTTTTATTTTATTTATTGTAATTTAAGCTTTTGCAATTATTCTTCTTATTTAATGCATTTTCAGATTCTTTCCTTTTTTTTTTTTTTTAATCATTTTTTTTTATTATATCAGCCATATTTAAGAGGAAAGACTCATCTGAGTCCTCACATATTTCTCCTACTCGGTGTCATCTTTTTTTTTTTGTTTTTTTCCCTTTAATTACCTGTCAATAATAATAGTGATCTTGTTAATTTCTCTCAAAGTGAACGTTAGTTATATGGACTGCATTTAAAGT